TCATTGAAATGAAAAATAAACAACATAAATTTAAAAAACAAAACAAAACTATATTTTGGAAGATTAACCCAGAGTCTGCTTGCTGCAGAATGGACTAAACCAGATTGAGCTGCATAATATGTGGGACCTGATGCAAACTGAAAATGAGGGATCCCTTGTTTAAAAAATAAAGAAGTAATGCCACTAAACACTCTAACATACAAAAGTCTCCCCTTCCTCCCATGGTCCCTTTTCTCAGCGTGTAATGGTGTTTTTTATTTGCCATGTGATGCCTTACTAAATAAAGAACTCTGGTGGCTCAGGGGCAAGGGATTGTGCTGCCAATTCAAAAGGCCTTGGTTCAAATCCACTGGCTGCTCCACAGAAGAAAGACGGCAGTATCTTCCTGTGTGATTTACTGCCTTTGAAAAACTCGCTGGATGGTCAGCTGTGAGTTGGTTCTGACTTGATACACAACAACAACAACTAAAGAACTGTGATTGCTTCTTTCCACCTTTCATTGTATATAATTTCCAACATAAACTGTTGACTAATACAGAAAAGCATAAGAAAAGATAATATAAGGGATCTTGAATATCCATGTTTCTTGATTTGCCTTCTTTCTGTGTTCAGAGCAAAATCTGGTTCAATAAAAATGGTGGCCTCTCAAAAAAAAATACTTTTTCTGAAAAATCATGTTTCTTTTCTCAGAATGTTCTGAAATGCATTGGTTTGCATTTCTGAGTTAGGACATCTGCTTCACGTTGTTTTTTTAAATTACTGTGTGCATTTATGATTATGACATTTCAATGTGCTTCTCTCTCTGTCTTGTTTCTTTCTGTTTCTAAAAGCACCTGAGTCAGGACCTAGAGGAGGCCTCGCACTCTTCAACACAAGGGAAATTTAACCGAGAGCAGTTTTACAAGTTTATCATTTTCCCCGGCAAGTGGATTAAAGTCTGGTATGATCGACTTACCTTGTTGGCATTACTGGATCGGTAAGGTTTTGAGCATGCAGACATACCACCGAACGACACACTGGGGACACAGTAGAACACATGTGCACGCTTTACACACGGCCGTTACTGCTTGGTGGGGTGCCTGGAAAGCTTCCAGAGGATGGATCGCTCGCTGCACGGCAAACCTAAAGCAGCCAAATCCGGATAAACTAGGAACAGTTCGATTTAGCAATTACAGTGGCAGAAATAATAATAGACAACAGGGTTGAGATTTACGATGAGCTTTGGGCGTGGTCAGTAGGGACTTGTGGTCAGCCAGTTCCAACTCCAGTCAGGGAGTTGAGTTTTGGAACAATGTTATGCTTTAAGGGAGCTCTGGTGGCCTAACAGTACTATTGCCAACCCGAAGATAGGTCACATCCACCAGCTGCTCTCAGGGAGAAGGATGGGCAGTCCCATCTTGGGAGATATATAGCCTCTGAAAACCTGCTGGAGGGCTAACTATGGGTCAGTTCCAATGGCACAGTAATTCGTAGTTTGTTAAGCTTTTGTTTACTCTCAGCTTACATGGATAAAATATTTTTGTAGAAAAGCTTGAGATATCCATTATGAAGCCCAAGAACTAACCAGGCCGGATGTGAACACGGCAGAGGGTGAGATAGAGTGGGGCAGTTCCTTAGTCTTCCCTGGATGGTGTGAATCCTGACTCCTCCCTCCTGCCTGGTGCATTGATTTGGAAGATTAAGGGAAGCTGTCAAAATCTTTCACTCCTTCTCCCCTCCTCTTCAGATCCTTTCTCAAGATAAAATGTAGGGTTACAGATTGGATGCTGCTGGGGAGGGGCTCAGGCTGGTTCAGGACTTCCTATTTCTATCCTCTCCTGCTCAAGGTTATGCAAAGGATGACTGCCCCTCTGCTTTGCCTCCCGATTTTTGGTTAAAAACAAACAGGCTTTGGGCTTTATACATTTATCTGTTTCTGTAAGTTTGATCACACTGCATTTGTCCTTTCGTAAGTGCCGTATTTTTACTCAGCGTAACGTTTTCAAGGTCCGTCTGTGTTACAGTATATATAGCAGGACTATATAAGAAGTTATAACTGAAGTTACAGCAGGACTTCAGTTCTCTTTCCATCTGAGTAATATGCCATTGTGTGTATTTATCACATTTTGCTTATCCATTAATAAGCTGAATTAGGTTGTTCTGATTTTTTGGCTATTGTGAATAGTATTGCAAGGAACACGAGTACATCCTGCTGTCATGGAATTCCAACTCATAGTTGGACTCAAACTTTGCTTCATTGAGCAGGTGCTGGACCTGAAAGACTTAACCACTGCACCACCAAGGTTTCTTCTAAAAGACAACCGTCATCCAAAGAATTCCATCGGTATATTTCAAGGCGGAGTTATAGTGGTTATTCTGACAATGCTGTGTTCCTTAGGGGCACACACTTAAGATGGACATTTAACGTTTGACAAGTCATCCAAGACAATATATTCTAATAGTAAAAGTTTGCCCCAAAGTGTTGTTGTTATTCTTTTGTTTCTTGAAAACCAGACTAGGGAGCTCTCGTGGGGTCGTCTGTAGAGAATCGCGCAGCTAACGTGCCTCGCTGTCCGCTTGAATCTGGCAGTGACTAAACGGAGAAAGATACACTATTCCCCCTTGTGTGGTTACAGTCTCACAATCCCAGTGGGAGTTAGTCCTGTGCAGTTCTGACTCGGTGGGTTTTTAAGTGAGAGAGGACTAGTTTTTGTTAATCTGTCAGGTTAAAATCAAATGTTCCAGTTGCCTTCGAGGTTTCTCATTATCAAAATAATTCAATGACAAAACTTGACTGAAAATCTACTTGAGATCTAAACAAGGATGGAGAAGGTGCCTGCACTTGCTGAAGGGGAAGATGAAGGTGAGCAACTCCTTGTTCTTCCCCAGACAGTGTGAATTCTGACTCCTGCCTGGTGTACACTGGTTTGGAATGTCTTTCACTCCCTCTCACCTCCCGTTAACACTGCTCTTCTTACACATTTGTTTTCAGGAAGGCAACAGATGCAGCAAGACCTCCCTTAGCCATTTATCTCTGATCTGGGATGTCAGGATGTGGGTCTGGAGTCAGACTTTTGGACTCAAATCCAGTCACTCTTTCAAATGAGTCTGTGACCTTAAGATGAGAAGAAGCGTTTTGTGCCTCAGTTTCTGATTCATCCAGTAAGGATTCTCTCTCCTGTTGGGCAGTTAAAAAGATTAAGCCAATTTCATTCATTCACTCTCTTGTTAATGCCAAGTTGGAACTGACTCATAGCTCACCCTCCAGTGGGTTTTTCAGGATTGTAATCGGCAGAGGAAGAGAACACCCATCTTTCTCCCCTGGAACCACTGGTGGATTGGAACTGTCAGAGAGGGGTTTCCTTTGGGTTAACAGCACAGCTCCCTATCAACTATGCCATCAGAGCTCCCTAATCCAATTTAGGACATATGCATAATTATTTAAATATCAAGTGCTGTTATTACTATTTTCTGGAATGTGGTGCAGACAGAAATACAAAGTAGAATAAAGGTACGTGTATTAGATATGTAATGCTGCTGTATCTGACCTAGCACAAACTGATGAGTTGAATGAACAGAACTTTAATCTCTCAAAGTTTACAAGGCTCAGCACCTTTTATACAGTTCTCTCCCTCATCTGTTTCAATGCCATGTACATTATTTATCCCCTCTTTTCTTAATTTCTCCCCAAACCCCATGTCAGTCCTGTTTTATAATAGTGGTATTATGCAGTATTTGTTTTTTTTTGTGACTGAGATATTTCACTCAGCATAATGTCCTCCATGGTCACCCATTTTGCATACTATTTTGTGAGTTCTATGCTTTTCAGTGCTGCATAATATTCCATTGTGTGAATATACCACAGCTTCTCTATCCATATATGATTAGGTATTATTGGTATGACAAGAGTCCAGAATAAGAGCTGCATAGTAAAGTGCTCTGGGGTGGGGGGACTGTATAACAATGAAAGAACTTTTTTTCCAAAGAAAAAAGTGAATGAGGAGTGAAGGGGGGCAGGGAGGAAAATGTGCAACAATGAATGAATGGAAATCCAAGTTCTTTAGAAACTCACAATAAAATTTCAATTGAAAAATGAAATTATGGTACATTCACCTGATGGAATACTACGCAGCACGCAGGAACAATGATTTTGTAAATTACTACATAACTTGGGAGGGACTGGAGAGCATTATGCTACGTGAACTAACTCAGTCCAATAAAGACAAATATTGTATAAGATCATTATTGTAGAAATAGATATCTAGTAAAACATGTATGATGATCCAAGGAGCAGAGGGGTCAGGATGGGAAGAGGAATAATCAGAGGGTTGCACGCTTTGATGGTAGAGGGAGAGATTGGTAAAGGAAATGGGAAATATCTGTGTTAAAAACACTGTGTATAAACTTTGTAAGAAAACCAGTATAAAATAAAAATTTTATTAAAAAATAAAAAAACAACAACAATCAACCCACCCAACCAAAATAAAACAAGGCTTGGCACCTGACTTAGGGGGCTGTATCTGGGAAAAGCTTTCCCTTGGTGTTGGTTCTGGAGAAAGGTCCTTGTCTCCTCTCAGCATTTGTAGCCCAGGATTCCTTGGCGACCTCTATATGTTTGACATCAGTCATTTCCTGGATTTAAAAGATTTGTCACACAAGCATCTCTCTGCCCAAAGAATGCTCTCTGCTCCTACCTCCTCTTGCTTGCTAGTACCCAAACCCTCCCTTCTCTTTATTTTTCTCTCCTGTAAGAAAAAAGGTATTGCAGGTTACAACCTGAAGGAACTCCCTTTATATTGGACATTGCCTGTGACTGGATTAAGATGGTTGAATGTCACCCTTAGTCCTTTAAAACGGATCAGTTTATCAGATTCCATGGACCATTACATAACTGTCACATTGCATTAGTAAACCAACCCATAATCGAAGAGTTTCTGTGTACCTTTGAGTTGGAACCGACCATTAGCTGACCCTCTGGTGGGTTTTCAGAGGCAGATAATCACACAGGAGGAGATTGCCCATCCTTTTCCCACAGAGCCTCTGGTGGCCTCAAACCACGTACCTTCAGGATTGCAGTACAGGTTCTTGCCACTAGGCCATCAGAGGAGGGAATACACAGTTTCATCTGTGATTGTGAGTAAAGTAAGTTTTGTCACGTCTAGGAGCTAAAATCTATGCTCATTTTTTGCAGGACAAGTGACCCTGCTACCGGGTCCTTCTGAGCCTCTTGCTGTCCCCAGTGTTACGGCTTTAAGGAGGTTCCCTGCCTCTTCTCTCTGTGTGCCTTCTCATTTTCCCTTTCAACTACTTCTTGCTAGTTGTCTTCCTTCTTACTGTTATTTCTGTCTCAAAAACCTCTGCAAAATCATGACAGTCACAGGGCAGGCCTCAACTCATGGCCAGGCAAAATGTATCAAGCCTTGAATTGTTTACAAAGGTAACTCCTCAGAGTTTGGACGGGGACTGAAATCTAAGCTCGTTTTCCCATGAAGCCAAGACAAAAGTCATAGAAAGAAATTCATTTCACCACAAACATCATACCATTGTTGCTGTTGTTAGGTGCTATCGACTCTATGAACAAAAGGCCTAAACCCTGTGCCGTCCTGCGCCATCCTCACATTTCCTAACACACAAGAGCCCATAGTAGCAGTCACCATATCAATCCATCTGGTTGAGGGTCTTCCTCTCCTTCACTGACACTCCATCCTTCACAGCATCATGTCCCTCTTCAAGGAACAGCACCTCCTAGCAAAATGCCCGAAGTATGGGAGGCTGAAGACCCATCATTCCTGCCTCCAAAGAGCACTCCGGCTATACCCTCTCCAAGACGTAGCTGTTCATTCTCTTGGCCATCTATAGAATGTTCAGTGCTCTTCTCCAACACCAAGGCTCAAAGGCATAAATTCTTTTTCTGTCATCCTTATTCACTGTCCAGCTCTCAGCAAGTAATCAAAAAGACTACAGCCTGGATCAGATGCACCTTAGTTCTCAAATGGA